AAGATGTGATACTTTACCAGTTTTTTGCCATAATATTTCTATTTTTCATGTTCTCATAATTCGAACTATGAAAAGGGATGTCGCAATCATAATCGAATTTTGAGAACACAATTCATATATTTGACTAAATTTGATTAAAATCTCTCGATCTAAGCTCTTAGATTTCAAAACGAAGTATAATATTCTCTCCATTAATTATAGCAAAACAACTTTAATCTAAGTAGAAACACATTTTCCATTGAGGATTTTTCTCAAGCAGTTGGTATTCAAAACTAAAGAGGCACAAAGAACGTAAAGTTATATTCCATAATTGAATTCCTATTCTAATAAACAAAGGTCGAATCCAAATAAACAGTAAGTTACCACAACATAAGAATTTCAAGATTCAAAAACACTAAAAATTTAGGAAATTGAGAAACAAATAGTTGAATCAGGGGTTACCTGCTTATACACTCTTTCGTGTCCTCCCTCATCTTCCATCTCCCCCCAAACCAAATCACTTTATGGCAGTTGGATGCTTCAAATAAGGTGATGCAATCACAGACCGTATGCAACAAACAACATCCTAAGATCGTCTTCCACAGAACGGACAATAAAAGAGGAAGAGGGGGAAGCAGTTGACGATGGTACCTAAATTTGTGCACTTGTAGTAGGTCTTCGACATGAGTCGCTATAGTAGGTGATCGACAGGAGTCACCGTCAACAGAGGAGGTGTGACGATGACCGAGCACATGGACTTCTAGGTCTCTTCAAAACCCTAAAATAATGGTTGAAAATTAGATCGAGTTCAAGAATTTATACCAATTTCTTATTTGAGTGTGCTTTTTGAGAGATGACTCATCGTGGAAGAAGTAGATTAGATGAGATCGGTGGTGGGAGAGCAAGTTGATGATTGTATTCATCTCCGTACATCATATGGAAATGATCGAATGTTTGTTTGTTTCAATGGAGTTAGAGACAAAGAGGTAGATAGAGTACGAGGCGGTAGTGGTTTTCTCGAAGAAGCGGAGGCGATCAAGAAAAGAACACGTAGCAATGGAGCCGATGACTCACGCACCCAAACAATTAGCCAATCAACGGTAAAAAACCAACAGGTAATATAATATAAACCGATAAAAGATAATTAGCCGCCAAAAATTTTAGTGAACCTATTGAAGACACTATTCATTCGAATGTTTTCAATTAATTATATGATAAATTATTTTTATATTTTATTTTCATAATGAAGGATGTCAATATCAGCGGCGTATATCAATATTATTTTTTAATACTTTTATGTAGACTTATTATAAATAGCAATATTATTTTTTAATACTTTTATGTAGACTTATTATAAATACCAATATTATTTTTTTTAATACTTTTATGTAGACTTATTATAAATATCAATATTCTTTTTTAATACTTTTATGTAGACTTACTATAAATATCAATATCATTTTTAATACTTTTATATGGACTTAGTATTAATAACGACATGTGGTAACAATCCCATTTGCAATAAAAAAACATTTATATACATTGTATATCAATCTTATTTTTTAATACGTTTATGTACATTTGATTATAAGCTACAAAGGATTGACGATCATAATTGCATTTTTTATATGTATTATAACCAAACATATTTAACAAATTAAATTTTTATTTTTATTGATAAAATATAGTGTTTATACAATAACTTTTTTTTAATAACTAGAAGTATATATAAAAGTGAGTTTATATTTTTTAGTTATTATTTCCACAAAAACAATAATTATTTCTTAATTAAATATTAGATTTGATTTTATTTATTAATAATCATATTACTAATAATTATTCAAAATGTACCAACTTGATAAAATATAACCCTATAAAGGATGTGTACGTGATTGTGGGGATAAACTAACTTAGCATATTGAATCCATGATCAATTGCAAGAGGTAGTTGGTGGTAGTTCCAACCTCAAGTAGGGAGAACTCACCATTTATGGTGAGGATACTAGGATTGGTTCAACTTTTTGTTCGGTTGTCAGGGTTAGGCAGTATCTCCAATATGTGTTCGGGTTATCTTGCATATGTGGTTAACACTCGAGTTGAGGTGAAAAACTCAATAGTAATAACTAGAAGTAAATACAAAAGTGAATTTATACTTTTTCAATGAAGTTATGTTTCACAAAAATTTTGATTTATATATAGTTATTTAATGGTTTGAAAGATACAACATGTTTAATTTATAAACAAAACATGATATACTCTATCATAATTATTTTTATAATTTATTGTCAATATGAAGGAATAATTTTATGACTAGTTGATTATCATTATCATTTTTAATAATTCTATGTCTACTTTATTATAAATGGCAACACACGATAACATTCACATTTGCAATAAAAAGACTTATATGTATTCTTGTATATCAATGCAATTTTTTAATATTTTGATGTAAATTTCATTATAAATTAGGAAGAACCCTGCATTGCGGGAGTTGCCGAGTTGGAAAGCAATCACATTTTCACACTTCCATTTACAAAATTCTCGTATGGCATATATACATCTCCTGAAATTAATTTGTTCCTAAATAGACCACCATTAACTTCTTTCATGTGCTTTTGTTCCGGTATATGGATTTCAAAAATGTGAAACATCAATAAATAATAACTGTATTTTCATAGGTGACAAATTACACTTAATTCATTCTCATGTGATGTGATTTGTGAAAGCAAATGGTTCATGAATTTCAGAGACCAATTTATATCAACTTCTTAAAGCTGTTTGAACAGTTAATATGAGCAGAAAGAATAGAGACATGTAAAACAGTAGAACATGAGATCTTCCAGCAAGCTTGCAATGGCTAACAATGGCAGAAGTAGCATACAACTATCTCTCGGGTCCCATCTGGATGAATCCGATCAGAAAAACTTTGAACATATGCACTAAAAACCATCCTAGGCCTAAGAGCATGGAAGATATATTCAGTTGCATTTGGTGGAAGCATTTGTGATAATTCATATGGTCCAACCCCAATATGTTGGGTAGAAAAAATAATAAATTTATGTTAGAATTTAGATACAATATTATAACTTGTAACTACTAAAAGTCTAAAAGATCTTTGTATTTCTTTCTACCTTGTTTTTGATGGTTCGGGTCTTGAGTTGTTTTCTGTTTCATGCAAGGGAAAGTGAGGAAAAAGTACAGGCAGAATATAGCAACACCACGGAGTTAAGTGAGACAAAATTAACATTATTGGTGGGTGTGGAGACCACCAAATAAAATAAAATTTAAAAAAAAAAAAAAAAAAAAAAAAAAAAAAAAACACTTAAATAGGACAACATACAAAAATGAATTGTAGTAACAGTAATAGGGAAGGGATCGAATCCACAAGGATTGGTTCGAATGAAATCTATGCATTTAGTTTCTAAATAAAATTATAAAATGAAGGGGGTTTTGTTATAATATTAGATGCGATAAAAACTATTTTGCAAAAATAACTAAAATGGAAAAATACAAAATCTATAAAATAAAACGTTTCAATATTGGGATAAATCACAAGTTCAACTATTTGACTAATCATCATAATTTTGTGGTGCAATGGGTTTAATGGATATTAATTTGGCTATAGCAATCTAAGAAGCTTGAGATCACCTAGATTTTTTTTAGTTAATATAGTGATTAGAAAAGCTCACAACAACATATTTTCTTAGTTAAAGTCACAATTTCCATGAAGCATGTAATTAATGAAAATTAACTAGCATTAAGATTTAAAAGTCACCAAATCCAAGAAGAATCAAAATGTTTTCACTATCTTGTTGGAGAAAATACTTTCATGATTGTGTGAAAGGAAAGTAATCACAAAAACCATTTATTGTTTGTTAATTTGAATATCTATTACGTAATCAAGAAATTAACACTAATTAAATATTCACATATCTAAACTCATGATTAAATACATATAAACATAAATAGATGTTTTATTAGAAATTATTTTCATAGCATACCATCAAAACACACAAATTACTCATAATCAATTAATTATTCCATAGATTCACTCAATATTGAAAATAAAAACTAACTACACACAATAATAATAATAATAATAATAATAAAATGATAAAAATTATACCGATACCAATTACAAAATGAAGATTATAAAGCTCCTTGAAATAATCATTTCTTATTGCTCCAAAAAACTCCATTCATAATCCAAATACTAATACAAAAATTAACCTAACCTAATCTAATGTAAATAACTAATTACAAGATAATAAAATCAAAATCAATGATAATATTATTTGAATTCCAAAAATAAGAAAGGAAAAGAAAAGAGGAGACACCAAAGGCGTCGTCACTCCCTCTACTCCTACTGCCGGCGAAATGAATGAGATGCCCTACTGCATCTTTTGATTGGTGTGCGTTCAACAATTCCCAGCACAAGTTCAAAATGGGCTTCATACTCAACTTATAAATTGGGTTGCTAAAGTATTAAGTAATGGGTTGTACAATTGCTCTATGGGTTGCCATAAAATGCTAACGTGGGCTGCATATTTGACTTCATGTATTGGGCTGCCAAAACTAAATATGGCAGCAATCTGCATTGTTGCTCATCAGACAAAAACCCGACGAAAACATGTCTGAATCAACTCATTTTTTGTGAGATTGAAGATCAACGAGTTGGGAAGATGATGCTCGTAAAATTTCAGCTAAATCGGACAACGTTTACCCCTCCGTCTGATCGCTTGAAGAAAGCCGGTCAAAATCTGAAAAATTAATTTATATCATTTTGTTTTTCTTTTCGCTTCTGGATTTTTCTACGAGATTTCAATCTTGGTTGCAAGGCATTCAATGTGGCTTTAACAATGCTCCAAAATACCATCTTGCACATACAAATATGTGCAAAACTAGCTTAAACGAGTAAACATTTTCAAAACAATAAATCTAACGATTTAATGCAAAAAGTATATTGAAAATGATAAAAGTAAAAGAAAACAATTGCTAAAATATATACAAAAAATCAAGTTATCAATTACCAATTTCAAATGCACCATAACCATCGAAATCCAATGCCATTGCATTCTCCAATGTCTCTATCTCCAGGAATAACATGGTATGGTAGGTCAAGAAATGGACCCAACAAACTGTGAAATTCTTGTAGCACAAATTTAATGACTGTTTGCTTGTACTTAACTTTGCTCCTTGTGCAGATACGTTTCCTAATACAATCAACATATCAGGCTTCAGGGATTCAAATGATTTCTAGTTGAAATATCAACATGTGAGGGATCAAATTATGAATCTTTTATGTGTGAATACACCAATTGGTTGAGCAATAATAATAGCATATTATTAGACACAGTTAGATACAACAACAATAAGTGAATCAAGAAACATGAGGGGAAGGGATTCATAGATTATATTTTAATGCAATGCAACAACCTATTATCCTATATCAAACTACAGAATTTGTAAGTTAAAAGCACCATCATCGAATGTGCTACTTGCGCAATGCGATGTTGAGCATAATGATCATATAGGACCTAACAGTTAGTCAGACACTTTAACAAATTACGTACTATGAAGAATTGAGAAAAGAAGAAGTCTTTCAAGTGTACATCAAAGGATCCAGATGTCGTTTCATGTCCCGTCAAGAGCAAATCAGCAACCATCATAACCTTAAGATTATCTTCCAGTTGCATAAGGTCTCCCATCGATTGTTGCCATCTAAATCAAACACAAACTCTACCAAGTGTAGCATACTTAATTCAAATCCAAAATGAAAACTTGCCTATGGGGCTAGCAGTTAAACTCTTCCTAATAAAAGAGTGAATCTTTATCCCACATTATGTAGCAGATAAAAATATTGAATGAAACAAGTTCAATTATCGATATTTGAAATTGAAGCACACTTTAACTTTTGTTTGTTCATCGAGACAATTAACCAAACACTTAGTATTCAAAGTGTGAAATCTAGTCATAGTGTGAAATACATTCAGTGATTCCATAGGTCTTGTTGCCTTCCCAAGTGCATCAAGCGCAGCAGTGTAAATGTTTCTGTGAAAGTAAGAAATTAAGAATACATAATAATAATAATAATAATAATAATAATAATAATAATAATGATAAGATATATGAATAATCTTTGACAGATTATATATTATTAAGAAAACAAAATTGAGAGAACCTTATCCTGTTAGACTTGAAGCGTTCTCTTGCTTGCATCCACTCAATGACTTGAAGCACCTGCTTCCAGTTTCCATAATTTTCTAAAATTTGGATAAGTCTTATCATTGAATCAGATTTTTGCACTTCTCATCATCTTAGAGAAATTCCATTCATTCATTCTTCAATCGAGATTTGGCCCTATGAAAGCATTTCACCGAAGGGACTCCACGAGTTGCAGGGTCAACTTGGCGAGTCCGATGAAGATTTTCGTGCAAGGCGTGATCGTACAACTCCTTACATTTTATGACTTTGTTTTTGGGATACTCTGATATTATACTATTTTAAAAACAAGTCTTGAAGTGATTAATGGTTTTGAAAAGTTTTGAAAAAGTTTAAATTTGGCATGATTCTATGGGTGTTACAAGTTGGTACCAGAGCCTTCATTTGAGTGAATTGGAGGAACACTCGTGTAAATCCAGTCTCAAATCAAGGAAAGATTGTCAAAATGATTTTAAATGGTTTTCAAAATAAGTAAAGGAGGATGCAGAGTGTACGATCAGCCGAAGCCAATAAGTAGACCCAAAATACCATGCAGTTATTTGATTATGTGATATGTTAGCACATCATGCTAGTACTAGACTATGGATCTTTAGGAATTGCGTGATAGAATTGCATGATTATATGATGCCTGATAGTCTAGGGTTTTCTTTATATGAAATTGTCATCATTACTGTAGTTGTTTAGTGTATGCATCACGGCCATACATAATTAAGACCTTATGGCCTGAGAATTAGGAGCGTTCGTTTGGATGGATCGGTTTGATCCGATCCAATCAAGTGAATCCAAATTGATTTCGGTTTTTAAAAGATGGATCTGAATAGTCCAATCTAAATTCAAATCCGATACGATCCAATCCAATTATAATTCGGTTGTATCGGTTTTTATAATTAGGTTTTCAAAAAAATAAACATTTTAAAACGACATATAATTATAATATTACCCAACTTTACACAATAAGCAAAAACAAATTATTTGGTTGTGTTTTGAAATTTATAAACAACTACTAAGAACATATAGTATAGTTAAATATTTTATAGATAGAAAACTTTTGAGAGAAAATGCATATCAATGTTTTTTTATCAGTTGAAACATTTTGAACCTATTTAAAAAAATAAATTACAAAATTAATAAATAACTATAGATATATATATTATAAATAGATAAATAATAATTGTTTATTCGGTTTTTTTTGGACTATTCGGTTCTTATTTTATAAACCAAAACAAATCCGAAATTCAAAAAAATAATTCGGTTTTGTTGAAAATCAATCCAAAAATCCGAATATTCGAACCAAATTGTCCAATTGGATAATTTGGTTTTATCCGAATAGTGAGCAGCCCTGCTGAGGATGTTTAGTTTTGCCTTATTTCATGTTCTTGTTTAATGAAGGGCTTAGGGTAGGATCAGGTATTCGAAAATCTATAGGGTCCAGCATGTATGACTAGCATACACTAGTGTTGCAAAGTTGGTGGAAGTTTCGTGGATGGGTGGGTTGTGTGAGGCCGGTAGGTCGGTTATGAGATACTTAGCCTTCCTCTAGGAGTAAGGATTGAGCGACCACCATGTGTATGTATATTGTTGAGACAAATATGGGAAGGTGTGGAAGGTAGTATAGGCACATACTACTAAAGGGACAGGACCCATACGCGTAGCAAGGAAGTCACAACCCCTAGGGTTTAGTTGCGAGTTGGTTCCCTATTATTTGTGCAGATTATCTAAATATCTTTCTGATGTATTTTAAGTATGGTGGTTACGAGGCGTTTTGTGATAGGATCCGAATCGGGATAAGGGCAGGGTGATCAGGAGGCCCCGTCAACGCCCGAGATTATCGGCCAGGGTGGGCCAGTGTTGATAGAGGATCGTGTCAAGGAGATCATCCACAAGGAAGTGGTCGAGGTTGTGCGGGGTCAGATTCCGGAGATTTTTGGGTCTATTAAGACCGCTATGATGGAGTATTTTGATGACAGATATACAGCCATTGTTGAGACGACTGCCGCAGCAGCTACAACAGCTTTAACAGCGGCAGGGGAGGAGTTGGTTGAGCTTTTCAGTACCGAAACTTCGATAACACGAAGCCATAGGCCTTCGATGGGACTCAGGATCCGATCACAGCCATGAGATGGTTGTCTGACATGGAAGGATGTTTCTTCACGTGCTCATTTCCTACTGACTAAAAGGTCAGATGTGCCTTGAACTTGTTGAGGTCTGGGGCAAACGACTGATGGAGATTGATGATTGGGTTGTATACAGATGACCTGAGAGCTGTTGTTACTTGAAAGCAGTTCAGAGATATGTTCCGTTGTCATTATATCCCACGGGTCGAGCGCGAGCGGTTGTCACAGCAACCACAGCTTTGTATAAAGATAGGAATCATCAATCATCAAGTGTCTCTACAGCAGTATGAATAAATGCATAGCTGTTCTTTTAAAGTAGTTACAAGGAAGGTTTTACACAACCCTTTTGCTTACCCTAGCTCTCGCTAGACCCTTCCACTATAGGTATTATGGATCAAATCTCTATACTTGATAATTAACTTACAGATTGAGAACAAACATGCAGGAAAACGATAAACATTGCTTGAATCCTTTAAAGATAACAGAAACAATATAGTGCTTTTTTAACCTTCCAAGACACAGCGTTTTCATAAGTATATATGACAGCTTGTTAAAGTACACAGCTCAAAAAAATAAAGTACTCACAGCAAACAGCAAACATATATCGATAATAAAGTTTTTCAAAACACAAGCCAAATATTTTGTAGGAAACTCAAATACTATGATGTGTTTGATCCCACCAATCTAAACAGATCTATATCAATTATCGACTTGCATCTCACTAGGATTCTGCTTTCGATCCGACTCCACGGGGTCCTAATACATTGGCAGTGGAAGTTTGGAACCAAATATGACTTAGCAACTCCTGAAGAAATTAACAGAGAAAGTAGCACATCAGGAATTGCAGTTTCTAATAATACAATTAGTCTGCTAAACAAACTTCCACATGATTATAAAGATGTAAAAAATGACCAAAGCTACATTCTCTAGATTAAATGCGAGTTTAACAATACGTACAATTTCAATAAAGCCTATGTTTCTCTTTATCTTTTCATATAATGATAATTTAAAGTGTGCATGATTTCAATTACATAACGTTCAGTAGACAATCGAGAACTAGAAAATCTACGATAAGCAGCATTATTCTGAAAAAGACGTTGGCCTTTATCCCCAATGGCCATGAGTACCAAGTAGACTTTTTACTTGAAGGGTGCTTATGTTCTATAAACTGAAACTATAAGCACAGAAAAGAACAATATTAGTTTATATATCCATGTTCACCAATCTAAACATCAAGCAATACTTACTGATGCAGATTCTATTTCAACAATTCCATGGATGTTAAGATGCACTTTAACTTTGACCAACACTTTTTCTGCACCAGAAGCTTGAGATGGCCCAATCTAAACATATATTTAACAATTAACTCAAGATGTGAATGGGAAAAAGTAAATCAAGTGTAAGTAATACAATATTAAACATAACATATACACACACACATAAAACTTTTACCATGAAATAACCAGCTTCATGTGATAATCCAGCAGGGAAATCCGTCGTGTTGGTATAAAAAACTTGACAATAAGATGTAGTATTTCCATGGTATGCGACAGTTTTATTTCTTGGAAATGAACTGCCTTTTGGGAATAACGTAAATTCAGGGCATCTTTTACCATCATCAAAAAAAACTCCTGTTGAGTAAGGAAATGAATCCTGAACCTACAAAGATAAGAAAAAATAAAATAGCATAAACCCTTATCTTCATAAAAACGTAGTACCAAAAAAGATATATTAATTAGATAAAAACCTTATAATCTTTGACTTGGCAAGTTGGGCTAAGCAATGCACAAGCAAGAGCGCATCCTCTAGCAACACATTCACTTCCATTTAGTGTTCTCATTGGTTCTTTATCAAAAATCGAAGCTATCTTTCTTGTAATAGAAGGTATGCGGGACCCAGAACCAACAAGCTCAATGGTATCTATCTTATCTACACCTAGACCAGAGTCCTTTAAGGCCTTACCACAAGCATCCATAACTCTTTCTAGCAACTCCACTGACAAGTTCTCAAACTCTTCCCTCTTAATCAATCCATTCACATCTTTATCATCAACTAGAAAATCAATACTAAGTGGTGCTTCCGCATTGGCACTTAGAATTTTCTTTAACTTTTCACATGACGCCCTAAGCCTTATAGAAGCACGAGCATTCGAGTAAACATCTATATCGTGTTCTTCTTTGAATTGTGTTGCAAAATGTCTAAATAACACTTCATCAAAATCTCTACCTCCCAAGTTCGGATTAAACGAATGGGACAATATTGTCATTTTCCCTTCTTCAAAAGCAACAACCGTTACCTGAGTGTCGGAATGCCCAATGTCTACGAATATAACATTAGTTGTTTTTTCATCAGAAAAATCAGTCTTGTACATTCCATACCCTAATGCAATTGCAGTGCAATCATGCATTAACTTCAATGGTCTTAAACCGGCAATAAAAGCAGCATTAAGATATTCACGCCTTTGCAAGTCTGTAAAAAATGATGGAATCCCAATCACACAGTCTTCAACAGGGGACTCAAGATTCTTCTCTGTTAATTGTTTCAAATGTGAAAACAACATCCCCAAAATTTCCACTGGCTTAAAAGTCCATGTCTTACCCAAATACTCTAAATGGATCAAAACACCACCATATGGGCCCTCAGTGGTCTCGAAAGGTAGCAACTTAAGATCTTCTTTCACACTAGGTTCATTATATAGCTTTCCAATCAATCTCTTGATCTGAGAAATGGTTGATTTTGGAAACTTAGTAGCAAATGCAGCTCCTGCAGAACCCAAAAACCTTTGCTTCTCACCAAATGAGACTACAGCAGGCGTCTCACGTTTAGATTCATCATTCAACAACACATCAATCCCACCACGCTTTGCAACTGCAATGGCACAGTTTTCATTCCCGATGTCAAACCCAACCACACTCATTCTGAATTCGCACAAAAACAAAAGAATACTCTTCAAAAACTCGACACCGATGATGATCCTTACAAAACCCTAATTCATCCAAACAAACAATGCTCAGTTCATATATAAACTACTTCATACAAAGTAAATTTAAACATAAACAAGAGTAAAGCACTACATCTCGCAGAATTCCGTTTTATGAGTAATGATTACTCTGTTCTTAAACTAATCACACAAACTATATATACATACACAAACTTAGATCAATCCGTAGCCAACCGCATATACGGCGCAAAATCAAATATAATGATCAAAATATGAACATCGATCTAACGTAGGAGTAAGATGAAAGGTGTACCTGCTTCAAGTGTGAGTTTTTGTAAATGAATGCGTGTGGAAAACCGAAAACAGAAATTAATCGTAAAAAAGGAAATCGAGTAGTCGTTGAAAATTCAACGTCGATTTTGAATATGAATCGTCATGTTCATTTACTAGCAATAAATAACGTTTGGACTTTTGAGTTTGGTGAGTTTTGGCGCGCCCAATCAAAAAATCCAAGTTGGATAGACTGATGGAGACGAACCGACTATAATGGGCCGGTGACCTTAAGGGCTCGAATTTATTTGTTAGGTGAAATGGAGATCTAAAGCAAAGCAGGTAGTAAAAAGGTTCCTATAAAAGGAAAGGATCAATTATAATTATTTTTAGCCTGTTGTTAAATACAAAACAATTTGGTTTTCATTGGCCATGGTTAATGAACTTAATTTGGAGTTTGAGTAGTTTGATGTCAAAATTGCATTTTTCATGGTACAATGAAAAGAAAAAAGATTTGTTATGTCTCAACCAGATGATTTGATTCATTTATGATTTCTCATGGCTAATTGGCTATGATCAAAACCAAGGAACATACATGTGGAAATACAAGGAACAAAGCTTGAATAATGATTTAAAAAAAAAAAAAAAAAAAAAAAAACACCAACAGGGGCTGCATTTTTCTAGCCCTTAAACCAAGGTGTTTTCAAAAATAGAACTGTCTAATCTAATAATATATGAATTGCCAAAAACCTACAAATGCATTGTAAAGTTTTCAAAATAGAAAGCTAGCTAAAGATCATGGAGGAAACTAGAATATATTGTTGTGTTTGATCCCACCAATCTAAAGAGATCTATATCCACAATCATCTTGAACGCCATCTGGATCGTCATGCTTTTCATCAGAGTCCACGGGTTCATCATATTTGGGAAGTGAAGGTTTGGATATCATCATGACTTCACACCTCCTGAAGAAATTAACAGTTACATTTTGCAGCTTCTAACAACAAAAGCAATGCACTCAAAGACTATTCACATGATTCTTTGTGTTATTCATGTTATGCCAAATTTACCAAATTATGTTCTCTAAAAACTAACAATGCCACCACCCCCATCATCACATACACTAGACTGAATGTGAGTTTTAGGTTCCTATACAAACCAAGTTAAGCTCCTATTATAGCCCTAAGATGAATAATATACGGAAAGTATTAACTATCCCCCAAATATCTATACATGACATAATAGAAAATAATACAATTAAAGTCAATAATTATGCTCGAGCTCAACTAAAATTTAACGAGTTTTAGGTGAATCGATTCATGTTAGTACAACAAGCCAATTGGTTAAATCTAACCTCTTAAAAGTTTCTGTGATTCCACTAATGGCAGTTGAGCAGTATATGGAGATGGCATTCTTGGCCAATGAATCATGTAGTTGAGAAATATGAGTCAACCACTGCTCAGCTTGAATGCACTCATTGATAACCTGCCAAGAAAAAATTAATAATAATAATAACGTGACAATTATTTGACAGAAAAAGTATAATCACCAAAATCATAAATTATACCTCATCTTTCTGCATAGGGGGCAGTAAATCTGCAGCCTCACGATTTTCTTGAATACAAGTTTGCAGAGCTTCTTTTGCTTCTTTTCTAGCCATTTCATCCTTGTATCTATTTTCAATTGGATCCAACAACTGCATAAACAAACATTGATTAGATATGTATTGCACGTTGTTTCAAAAGGAAATCACGGTTCAGTTTCATCATCACCTCTTTGAGATCTTCAAGCTTTCCGATATAGACTTGTTCAGTTTCATCATCACCATCTTCATATAGCCACTCTTCAGTTTCTTGCAGATTTTTTAAGATGATCTCCTGCTCTGAATCTGTGGTGAAGCTCCGGTAGCAACTCAAAAGCTAACTTACACAAAAAAAAATAAGAAGAATTGTAATGATTACCAGCACAAAATGATATATATATATATATATATATATATATATATATATATATATATATATATATATATAAATCCAAAGTGCATTAATCATGTTATAATTAATATCCCGATAGAAATTACAAGTACCTTGCTTCGAGTGTCATAGATGAAAGACTCGAGGGTATTTCTTTTGTCCTTAGTTTGCTCCACCTTTATGTCTTGTTGTTCCAAAAACTCTTCTCTCTCTTGAGCTTCATGTAGTTCATCTCTTGTCATGGCAACATCTAGAAACTCAGAAACTGCAATGCTCTGCCTCCTGGACCAACCCCTTCTTGCTTCTTCATCCTGCATGATCATGCATGCATGGCTTATATATGCAGTTAAAACTATATATATAGCTTTAGCTTCACTAAAAAGCTACAATATTTACCACTGCATGTTCTATTTCAACAACTCCATGGATGTTAAGATGCGCTTTCACTAATCCCTTTGCTTTTTCCTCACCAGCGGTTTCAGATGGACCCACCTTAAAAAATACTTATCGATTAACCCAATATATGAAAGGGAAAATATTGTAACACACAAACATATTACCATGAAATAACCAATATGAGGTGATATTCCAGCAGGGAAGTCCTTCTTGTTAGTGTAGAAGACTTGAAAATATGATATAGTATCTACATGGACACCAAAAATATGATCCTTTGGAAATGGACTGCCTTTGGGAAAAAGCAAAAGTCCTGTTTTTCTTTTGTTTTCTTCATCATCTAAGCGTATTGTGTAGGGAAATAAATCCTGAACCTGCAAACAATAAGAATATATAACATAAATCTTTAAAAAGATAATTATATCAATATATTTTCAATGTACTACTTCTATTGATTAATTAGTTCCCTTATTATAATTAAGTTTCCCATTTACTAGTTGTTATCGTAAAAGGTAGCTAGAGAAAAAAAAAAAAAAGACCTTATAATCTTGAACACGAAAAGCTGGGCTAAGCATTGCACAACGAAGAGCACATCCTCTAGCAACACATTCGCTACCATTTAATGTTCTCATTGGTTGTTTACCAAAAACTGAAGTTAACTTTCTCATAATAGCAGGTATGCGGGACCCAGAACCAACAACCTCAATACTATGTATATCACCAATCTTTACACCAGCATCCTCTCCAGCCTTACAGAAGGCAACACTAACCCTTTCAACCAATTCTAGTGACAGATTCTCAAACTCTTCCCTCGTTATTAATCCATTCAAATCTTTATCATCAATCAGACAATCAATGCTAAGTGGTGCTTCCGCATTGGCACTTAGAACTTTCTTTAACTTTTCACATGACGCCCTAAGCCTTATAGAAGCACGAGCATTTGAGTAAACATCTATATCGTGTTCTTCTTTAAATTGTGTTGCAAAACGTCTAAATAACACTTCATCAAAATCTCTACCTCCCAAGTGCGGATCAAAAGAATGTGATAATATTCTCATTCTTCCCTTTCTAAATGCAGCAAAAGTCACCTGAGTGTCAGAGTGCCCGATGTCTACAAATACAACAATAGTTGGTCCTTCGATAGAGAAATCAGTCTTGTACATTCCATAACCTAATGCAACAGCAGTACAATCATGCATTAACTGCAAAGGTCTTAAACCCGCCATAAAAGCAGCATTAAGATACTCACGCCTTTGCAAATCTGTAAAATACGATGGAATCCCAATCACACAGTCTACAACAGGGGACTCGAGATTCTTCTCTGTTAATTGCTTCAAATGTGCAAACAACATCCCCAAAATCTCCGCTGGTGTAAAAGTCCATGTCTTACCCAAATACTCTAAATGGATCAAAACACCACCATATGGGCCCTCAGTGATCTCGAAAGGTAGCAACTTAAGCTCTTCTTGCACACTCGGATCCTTATATTCTCTTCCGATCAATCTCTTTATCTGAGAAATAGTTGATTTTGGAAACTTTGTAGCAAATGCAGCTCCTGAAGAACCCAAGAACCTTTGCTTCTCACCAAATGAGACCACAGCAGGCGTCTCGCGTTTTGATTCATCATTCAGCAACACATCAATCCCGCCGTTCTTCGCAACTGCTATAGCACAGTTTTCATTCCCGATATCAAACCCAACCACACTCATTCTGGATTCTTACAAACACACAATTATGCTCTTCAAAAGATCAACGATTGCAATACTTACCAACACCTAATTCATTTAAACAAACAATCAGTTCATATAAAACATAAAAGTGGTAAACATAACTATAACACTTTACCAGTAGAGTTTTGTAACCTAGTTCACTAATCGATATTCTTAAACTCGAGCCGAGATTGTTAGAGTACCCAAACCATCCACATATGTACACAAACTTCGATCGTTGGGCAGCAAACAACGCGCAAAATCAAACATCAATATCAAAACATGAGCATTATATCAAATGTAGTATAAAGATGAAAGAGGCGTACCTTCTTGAATCTGTGAGTTTTTGTGAAAAATATGTGTTAACTTAATTCGTAAGATAGAACTTAGAGGTCGAGTAGTATTCGGAAAATCCTTATCGTTTTTCGAATTTGAATCGTGATTAAGATAGCGTTTATTATGGGATGGATTTTGGCGCCCTGATTTGGACTAATAAAATCGTAAATGCTAGCTGGGATAGACACGAGGCATTGAGATGAACCGACTAGTTCAGTTCAATGAGATTTATTACCAAATAAGTTAACTATTTGATATCTCTCCGGAAAAATGAGGTAACTATTTCTATTTCTTATTCTTTTTACATATCGGCAACTTTTTTTTTTTTATACATAATAATGCAACTAATTTGTTTTAATTGTTTAAATTACACTAATATTATCGATTAATACCTGTTTTAACCGGTAACTCAAAGGAAAAATGACTTAGGAGGTTAACTACCTCTTATCCGTATTCATATATTGGTAATTTCTTATTTTTTGTACATAAGAAAGTAACTAACTTGTTTTAACTGTGTAACATCTCAAAAATCATAACAAAAAATATCGTTTTTAACTTTATATATAGGGAGAATTTCATATATACCCTTCTTAAACATCAAAATATCATATTTATCCAATTTAATTTCTAAATATCATATTTACCCTTCATAAAATTTCTAAATATCATATTTACCATTCATAAAATTTCAAAATATCATATATGTCATTTTTAAACATCATAATATCATATATGCCCTTTTTAAATCTCAAAATATCGTATATGCACTTTTTAAACATCAAAATATCAATGGTAATATCTAAAATATCCTTCATCTATAACATAATCAACAAAAAAAACTAAACAATCAAAATATACATTCCATAGAGAGGGTTGAAGATGAATATTTTTGTTTGTCAAGAGGAAGATATTCCAACAATTTAGAAGTTCACATTCCATTATCATAGAACTAAGGATAATATCGTTAAATTTTTTAATTATTATACTAATTTTAAGTTATAAAAAATGATTATAAAATATTAAAAACATTATAAAAAAAGATTTGGGCAAATATGATATTTTGAAGGTTTATGAATGGTAAATATGATATTAAGAAATTAAGCTGGGCAAATATGATATTTTGAAGTTTAAGAGGGGCATATATGAAATTCTCCCTATATATATATATATATATATATATATATATATATATATATATATATATATATATATATATATATATATATATATATATATAAAGGGCAATTTTAATATGTTTGTACCATGTCATAAAATATAATGCAATGTTATTTGCTAACTAATTGTATACCTAATGAATCTGGTTGTCACGAATGAGAAACAAAAGCTTAAGAATGTTGGATTTTTAGACAAAAGGATAAGTTTATTGGGTTTTTTTTTTAAATACAAAACATGATTGAGATTTTTTGAACGGTTTTAAAACTCCTTTGGTCTTACAAGTCATTTTATCGATATTTAATTTCATGTCATAAGTCGTGTCATTAGTTGAATTTCATTAGTTGGTTGACAAATTGAACAAAAGTGTAAGTTAGTTTGATTATTTTAGACAAAATGTTAAGTTCGTTGGGTTGTCTTGAACACACAAAACATAATTGGAGCTTTTTGAATGGTTTGAAAACTTTATTGGGTTTATAATTCATTTTCCTATTTTAAAATGTAAGATTTCTTCTAGTTTATATTAAACAAAATATTAGAATGGTTGATTTGTTTATTTATTAGTTAATACTAATCAATTATCACATCATGTTTTAATATTTGGTGAAACCATCCATACCAATGGGTAGGGTAGTTTGGACGATGGTATAGGGCCATCAATTTTTAGTCCAAAACAAAATCAACAAAGAAAACAAAGGGACATGTGGTTATTATGAAATAATCATCGTATTGGGCCTTTCATCACCATTGATCGAAGGACTCTATTAATCAATTCTAGTTTTTGCAATGATAACAAACAAGTTAATTCATAATAAATTGATTTTGGTTTTTTTATGCAAGCCTATGATTTCCGATTTCATCGTATGATTTCAATCTTTCTTGATACATCGATTCTAATAATTTAATTTCACGTGTCTTTCAAAAGAAACCAACCTTGTATTTTGTATAAATCTAGTTTCAGGCAGTCTCACGGGTTATGTATTTAATTTCTGATTCGTGTTAGTATGATTTGTGTTCATGTGATTTCTTCATGTAAATTGTAAGATTACACTATTGTTCTTCATTTCTTTCATATTAATTTTATGATAAGAAGTTGATTTATATGTTTTCTTTTCGATTTTCTGTAAATAACTTGAAACTTTAACATCATTAATTTTGAAATCCTTGTTGTTGGAGCTTTGAAAATGATACAAATTTTATTATCCTTGTTATTGAAAAACAATTCAGCATCAAATGTTCACAACTAAGTGTTTTCATTTCCTTTACTTATTCTTTCCTTGTTTTATAAGTTTAAAATAATAACATGTTACCTAAAAAAACATTTACCTAATATTTGAGCAAACGGTTTTAACCGAACGGTCGAACCAGTTGGACCGAGAACCAGGGAAGGGAGCGATTCAACTATCATCGATTTTATGTCTATTTTTTAACCGAAATAAACCAGACGGTTTTTACAAAAAACACTATTGAACTGGTTAAATTGAATAAAAATTCATCGAATAGAACCATTTTAGATAGTAAACTTTGGTGAGTTTTTTTCACATCTATTCAGATTTCTCTAAATAAAAACATATGGTAAATGTTATGAAGTTTTTGATATATTTATATTCATCTAAAACTATATATATTTTCAATATTATACATTATTTTCTTTTTGATTTATGTGAATCGATGTAAAACTTATGGTTATGTGTTATGTTGATATATTTAGATTGATCTACAACTTGTTTTTATGTGTATTTTTAATGTTTGAACTTGTGAACATCAAATTATTGATTTATGTATGTATGTATGTGTAGGAAAACCAATTTTTAAAACATTGCATTTACCTAGTAGTGAGGAAAAAACAATACAAAAAACCGATGAACTAGTATTATTAGTATTACAAAAACGATATAAGGATAAATTTATAACAAGGGTCCATTTTTTAAAATACATAAACAAAAAAAAAGTCACCCTCCTTTATTATTTTTTTACTATAAGGGTCTGATTTTTATATTTTTCTCGGGGAATCAAATCGGTTTGGACCGACCTTGGACCAAAACCTACTTCAACCCCTCTCCGGACTTGGTTGTATCATTTTAGCTATGTACCCCACCAAACAGCCTAACCTATATATAAGAGTCCAAATAAAAACATTTCTAGCATATGGTTGGAGGCCAACACGATATAGTTAGACAAACAGTCAGAGTCACAAATACATAAAAGAGCATTTCAGACAACATGCCAAATGCACACCATACTGAAAGTCTTTTCAGGTTAACTTGTAGTTGTTGTCCCCTTAAAGTACTCCATAAATAGCACTTGCATTAAATGTTCGAGCAACTAGGGGTGTTCACGGGGCGGTTCGGTTCGAATAGTAATAAAATTATGAACCATGACCACGGGGCGGGTACCTCATGTGCACTAACCGAAACCAAACCGAATTGGCCAAAAAACTGAACCGAACCGAACTGTGTGAAGGCGGGTAACCACGGTTCGGTTCACGGATAGCCGTTAAATAAAAAAATCAAATTTAATCAAAACTATAAACTCTATTTCGACCAATTTTTTTTCTAAAAGTAGTAACTCACGAAGTCAAAAAGAAAATATAAAGTTCAAATGTCATTTATTAAATTTATATAATAAAATTAATAAGGAAAAAAAATGAATGTAGAATGAAACTGAAAATTGTCAATTAAATTTTGTTTTGGCCACTGCGCAGTATCACAGGGATCATTCCAAACAATGTTGATTAGTATTTTATTTACTTATATATATATATATATATATATATATATATATATATATATATATACACACACACACACACACACCGGTTCGGTTCGGGTATCCACGGATATCTAAATATCGAAACCGAAACCAACCCGTAGAGAGTCGGTTTTTACGGTTTCGGTTTCGGTTTTTTTGGTTACGGTTTTTTTTTCGGTTTCGGATTGACCGGATCGGATCAGTTTTTCGGTTTTGCGGTTTTTTTGCACACCCCTACGAGCAGCCCATAACATTTTCTCTTCACCACATACTCTTAAACATTCTCTTGGTATCTAACTTTGGTGTTGAATTAGCATAACATTGGGTAGATTATGGCTGACTCTGGCTCTCTTTTTATTCTCGTTTTATTGATCTTAGCAATGTTTAAGTAACATCTTTTTTTCGGGCCTAGAAAATAGTACTCCATCCGTCCTATATTGATTGTTCATGTTTTGTTTTTGGTTTGTCCTAAAATAATAGCTTAGTTCTAAAAATAAATACTTCTTTTACCAAAATACTCCTCATTATTAGTTAACCTACAATGGAAAAAAATTTTGGAACAGCGGAATATTATAAAACCTAACAAGACGCTAGAAAAATAATCACATGTTAACAAAAAAATATTGTTTACGTTTCCTAGTCATGATATAAGAAGTAGCGGTTTAGTAGTTCTAGTAAACTAATAACTATGTTATCCAACATTTGCATTTTGAAAGTTGAATCACATGTTATAATTTTCCTAGGTCCCAAGATGGTACAAGTAGTTATAAAATCTTGTGATGACTATTTTAAATTATTTTTTTTCCTACTGTTCCTTCGTATAAAAAATAATACATGGTAGACAAAAGATGAAGGATATATGACACCATATCCACGTATTAAACCCTCCACATCGGGTCTTTCAAAAATGAATTACAATACCACTAAACTAGTTTTTAATGGCACTTGGATTTCTTTTTTCTATCTCTACAAGACTTGCAATTCTTATAAGATTATTGCCATTGGTGAATAATTTCATAGTCGGTTGCCTTAAATATTATAAAGAATTGCTAAAATCCTCAAAACCCCAACAACGGGTTTGCTGCAGAGACTATAGTTGTGCAATATTTTATTGGCAGAAGAAAGATAAACTGATTTTTTATTAAATAATTGGGTTGGATTTGGTTGTGGAGAGAATCTAAGTGATTTCATATTATTATTTTAATATTACAATCATATTTAAATACTATAACCAATCAAATATTTTTATGCTAAATAGGCCCACAAATTTCTATCTCCAAACACTAATGACTTATGCTGAGTTTGTATTTTTTTTTTTTTTTTTTGCAAGATCGTAAACATGCACCGGTGTGTGGGTGTCCTATCATCAATCATAATTTGAGTGCTCTATCATTAATCACAATTTGAACAGGTGTTTCCAATCAATGCTCAATAAGCTTTTAGTCGTATACATTCAAATCTTCGAAGTTGCATGGAACGTTAACTTGAGTGCCGAAAAGGTGGAAAACAATAAACAAAATTTTGTAAAAAGATTCAAACAGAGGTGATAATTGTAACATTTACCCCATGATTTTCAACACTGTTCAACAATATTGTGATTACATACCTATAAAAGAACTAGACAGATCATTCAAGATTTATTCATATGATAACATTCAAAAGTCACACCATGAGATAGAGGAACTTGGTGATAATATTCAAATTGTTCATATATTTACAAAAATCATGATTTTTTTTTTTACCAAAAAAACCTTTTTTTTTGGGAGAGGTATTTTGTGTTGAAATACTTGATAAAAATAACAGATAATCAAAAACAGAATGACTTCACCCGTACACTAAAAACTAATCAACATTTTGACACTGCAATGATGAAATAATCTGGCATAAACCATGCACATGCATTATGAAGCTAAGAAACCACAATACAATTTAAATAAAAATAAAAACATTAAATTCTGAAAAGACCAGGCTCATATTGCAACAAAGGAGACATTCATTCAATCTCATGTTGTCAACATTTGGTAAGAGTCAAATGGCTATATCAAACTCAGAAAGTAGCTAGAAGAAAAGCCTCAGGGGATGAACAAACAAACAAACAGAAATACCAAGAATAAAAATATATATATGTGATATAGATAATTTACTATAGAATATAGTAGCAAATAAAAACCCGGAATTCTTCATTTCCAGCATAGCATAATATCCAAGAGCCGACCATATCAGTCACTAATAAAAAGGAAAATAAGACGTTGAATTTATTTTGGGATAATAAAAATTGGATAAATTAGAGTTGATTTTATTTACCTGTTGTTGGGATGGTTGTGGCTGTTGTTGGAGGTGTGGGTAGGCGGCGTATCCGGGGTATCCACCATAGTACATGGTGGGATCTTGAGCAACAGGGGCATATCCGTAAGTTTCATATCCTTGTCCATATCCATAGTACCCACCATTGTATTGGCTTTGCTCTACCTGAGGCTGAACAGATTCAACTTTCAATTTTCTTATATATTATATTATATTATATAAATAAATAAAAAAACAAACCTGTTTGTTTGAAGGACTACGGCCCCACGAAAGTCTCACTGTTTGTCCACCAAATTGAGTTCCTTGGAGCATCCGTAAAGCTTCCTCAGCACAGCTTCTGCATCAATATTTCTAAAAATGTTTAAAAAATAATAATCTTGGAGTAAGCTGCATAGTTGGTACCTGTGCAAGGACTTTTTTGTAATTTTACTCGAAACATTTTTTTTTTGTTACCTGTCAGCAAATTGAACAAATCCACATCGTTTGCCTAACGGGATCTTCACATGGACTAATTGTCCATATTGGCTGAACACCTGCCTCAGATGTTCATCTGTTACATTAGGATCCAAACCACCAACAAAAATCTGCAATCACATTTTTTTTTTAAATTAGGATTTTTTTTTTTAATGTGACATGTTGTCTGATTTTGAAACAAATTACTGACAGTTGTATTATTTGGATCGTCATCATTCTGTGTTCCTTGAGAATTTGGGTATGAAGCTGCAAATAAAGAAAATATAAATGAAAAATACTCAAAAAGGAAAATCATTTATCGTTTCCTCCTTCGCATAACCCCAGGCATCCAACAGCAGATTCATGCTCCAAGAATTAGAGATGAAAATTGTATTATTAGTACCCTCACATCATTAAGTCAAATGGAAACTATTTGCATATATCATATAATCTAAATCTCATAGAATCATATCATAACATAAATAACAATGACAATAAATTACATTTTTCGTCCCTCAATATAGATGGTTTTTGCAATTTTGGTCCTTATTTGACGTTGTTGATCCCTGTTTCAAGATCTTTTCCGGACCAAAATTGTTAAAGTTCAAGGACTAAAAATAATCGTATTACTTAAAAGAGTAAATTACTGAAATCGTCCCTATGGTTTGGTAAAAACTTCACGTTTGGTCCCTAACTTTTCTTTTGCACTCGGATCGTCCCTATGGTTTGATTTGGTTGCGTTTTTTGTCCCTTACATACATAAAATTAGGGACCAAACGTGCAATTTTGACCAAACCATAGGGACGAAAATCGCAACGAAATCAAACCATAGGGACAATCCAAGTGCAAAAAATAGGTTAGGGACCAAACGTGCAATTTTGACCAAACCATAGGGATGAAAATTGCAACGAAATCAAACCATAAGGACGATCCAAGTGCAAAAAAAAGGTTAGGGACCAAATGTGAAATTTTGACCAAACCATAGGGACAATTTTAGTAATTTACTCTACTTAAAATATGGACCAAAACCGTTACAAGAACCTCAATGAGGACCAAAATTGCAAAAATCACCTAAACTCGGGGACCAAAAATATAATTTACTCCAACAATAATGATCATTTATTCCAACTGCATAAGGAATGTATCAAGAAACAAAACCCATGATATTTCACATCTATCAACTAAAGATATAACCTTAGCAACTTAGCTTTACCTAATCAATGAAAAATGCCGATTTCTTCAGACATAAAAATGATGGAATATATTAATATTGCCAACAAAAGATCCCACATTCACTTGATCTTTGCACCTTTCTTCTAGGTAGGTCAAATTCTGTCTCATAGATTTATATAATGCTATTTTTACTAATATTTTATAAAACTTTGGCTCTAAGCAATGAGTTTGTGTCCATATTCTTATAATTCTTTCATAGTTTTGTGGTATTCTTCATGCATGTAGGCTTAGTCTTTCTCACCTCAAGTGGCTCAATTACCAAGTATGTTAAACATTTTATATGTCAAGTTTTCTCCGTATTTATATATGAAAATTCTACTTCATATAACCTTGTAGATAACTGAAAGAGATATATAAAACAGAAGTAGACATAAAAGCTTATGAAGGGGGTAATGATCCAAGTATGAAAGTAAAAGAGAGACGTTTCAATGGATTAAAAGAGAACTTTGGTGGCTGTTAAACCAGAAATAACCAAAAAAAAAAAACGTATAACTGAATGAATAATGATAAGAAACAATGGAATAATGTAACTTGACTGAAAGGAAAGCTGAATAGTAAAAGGACTTGGGGAAAAAAAAAAAGAAACGAAAGCAGCATAAATGGGCCTTGAGGAACTTAAATAAAAATGGCAAAAGGGCAATTTAATGGCATAAAATGGAAAACTGACCTAAGCAAGGCCACCCACTATAGGGTAACAATTTCTGCTGAAATCATTGCCCGACCCTTTATATGATAGAGCCTCTTGATGCCCTGCTTTGAGACAATACGAGTTTTATATAAGTTTTTGCATTTTCAATATTTTTAAGAGCATTAATGCCCATAATTCTCAAAGCACGGGAAGGAAAGAAATCACTTCGTTAAGTTGGCGTTTATGGTTTATCTACAAGAATCAATCGACCACAATCTTGAATTCATAAAACTTAAGAAGCTTGGAATTTGGATAACACAACTACACAAAGAATATCTAATAACACAAACAAATACAAGAATCAATAAAGAAGAGATACTAAACAAATAAAACCCATAAAACTTAAAATCCAATAAACATATATATAGAGAGAGATAGAGAGAACATGTACCTTTTGGATATTGTTGACTTCCCACACTCTTTTTGTTAGCAGCTGGCCCAATTCGCATTGGTCTGGTTGAACATAATCTTCCATTCATTTCAGTCATGGCACGTATTTGCTCACTCTCATCTCCAAATTTCACAAAGCCATAACCTTTTGTGCGCCCTGTGAGCCGATCAGTTACAACTTTTGCACCCTTAACAGAAGGGTAATGAGCCCTAAATGTCTCCTGCAATGTGTAATCTGTAACATCTGCTGCCAAATCCCCAACAAAGATAGTGTAATCAGGGGTATCATCTTGTCTTTTTTCACCAGCACCAAATGTAGCCCAGTTCAACCTGAAGAGTTGCTCCACATTGGGCATTAAAGTACCATTATATGCCTGTAGATGCCTTTCAGCACCAGCTCGGTTTACAAACTCAATGAAACCATAACCCTCAGATTGACCAGAATGCTTGTTACGTATGACTTTTGCAGAAACCACCTGCAAGCATAGAGGATCCTTAGAATTAGATAGTCATAGACTCATGGTATAGGGATCAAGCAAATATGAACAATGCTTTCATCATGCATTCATGGCATAAAGTCATAAACTATAAAGTTGGTCAGAATACTATTCTAAATCTTCTTGATAGGGAGTTTCACAACCAAGTTAAACCTTAATGAACGCATTAATTCTAACATAACTGACACTGACAATATTGTATGCAAAAGTGTTAAGTTTGAAATAAGAATCAAAAAACAATCTTTTTTCCTTGTGATTACAAGAAAATTTAACACAGTAACTGCAATTTAGGTATATGAACATGGCATTATATAAACAGTATATCATTCATATTCGGACCATTAAAACCCCAATTGTGTCCCCTCTCCCCCACTGCAATTTCTACAATTCCATAAATGTAGAATTCTCGATTGTCTTGCGAATGCATTTAAGGAATCTCTAAATCTCTTTACCCAATAAGAAGACGAAAACTTTGGGATCTAGAATCTAAACAATATAAGATAAACTGTAACTAAATAATGATATGGAAACAGGAATGTTAAATGGTAAAAACCTCGCCAGTCTGAGCAAAACAGCTAAGGAGATACTGTTCATCCATCCAATACTGTAGATCGCCGATCCATAGCGTACGGATCTCATCGGCGCTAGCTGGTTGAGGAGTCGCACCACCAACCGGTGCTACCGCCTGTCCCGTGTACTGAGGCGGAATTGTGGCAGCCGGTGGTGGTTGCTGGTTGTAATTATACATTTGCTGTAACGGTGGTTGTTGCTGGAACTGTTGTTGCGGTGGTTGTGGTTGTTGTTGATTCATCATCATCCACTGTTGTTGCTGGTACTGAGGGTCCATTAGCGGTGTTGTTGCAGGTTGCATAACGTAACCCTGGAGAGAAAGATCGAGTTTTTGAGAGACAGATTGAATTTTGGGAACGAAACGTAGCCCTAATTTAAGAACCAGAACGAGACAGAATGATCAAAATGAATGATAGACGATATATTTACAAAAAACCCCTTTATAAACTTCAACATTTTCTTATTGGCACATATCTATTGAACTTCTTTATAAACACCAATTGTACTTTTCTAAAAGGTAGCAAATTTTCAAATTTAAACTTTGTTAAATATATATTTTCAAAGGACAACTACATTATTTTTTATTAATAATAAAATAAAAATTCTTAAATATAAATTATTATAATTATTGTAAATATATGATTAGGGATGTCAACGGAGGCAAACGAGACAGGAGTTGCATCCCCGCCCCCGAAATTTCCCCATCACACCGCCCCCATCCTCACCCCTGATTGATTTTGGGATAATTTATGGGTTGTGTTATAAGTATCCTCATTCACTTACATAAATAGACACATACACAGGGGTATACAAACATTATTATACTCACATGGAAGGGGGTACACAACATTAGGGGTACGTATAGAAATTGCCTAATTTTTATTGTGTTAAATGAAGTCGATTTTTGGGCTTAAATAGGCTAATTTGGGGTTTAAATAGTTAATTAAAACATAATTTTACATGTTAAAAACGAAATTGTTATCACAACTCAAAAACGTTATACTAACAAACTTAAAAATATGATTTTTTTTATTGAATTTAATTATATTTATATAATTATTATATATAATATATTAACGAACCTCCATATGGTTTCTGGACGGAACTGCTCAACCTCATCCCTGCCCTCGAAATTAAAAAGGGGTTAGACTTACCCTTACCCCCGATATTTTTTAACAAATATCCTCTATATGGGGTCGGGGTCCCATTGGTTCAGGGTATTATACGACTTTTTGACATCCCTAGATATGATATGAAAAAACTATACTAAAATTAAATAACATTAATGGCATATACACGAAGATGCGAGAGAAAAATAAATTTGATTTTTGATTTTTTTTATTTATTTTTAACTATTATTATATTTATTTAAATTACATATATATTTTAAAAAAAAAATCATATCATCTTAATGATCTCTATCTATAGGTTGCGTGAATAAAATTAAATAAAAGGCAAATTACAATAAAGTCACTGAGTTAACCGGAATTTTCGGTTTTCACAACATATTTATTTTCTCTCAATTAAATCACTATATTTATAATTTTATTGCAATATCAACCAAATTATCTGTTATCCATGTTCTTCCGGTAATCATTTTTTTCAACTTTCAATAAAATCAGTAAGTTTACCAAAATTCCAATTTTGACATTATGTTTTGTTTTTCTTAATTATGTCGTTACATTTACAAATTTATTGCAATGTCGACCAATTGAATCTATCATTAGGGGTGTTCACGGGCGGTTCGGTTCGGATAGTAATAAAATTGTGAACCGTGACCACGGGGCGGGTACATCATGCGCACTAACCGAAACCGAACCGTATTGACAAAAAAAACCGAGCCGAACCGAACCGTATGAAAGCGGGTAACCACGGTTCGGTTCACGGGTACCCTGTAAAATATAAAAAATTAAATTTTATTGAAACTACAAACTCCTTTTTAGTTATCTCTTTCTTAAAATTAGTAAGTCAAAGAGTTTAAAAAAACATAATAAAGTTCAAATATCATATATTATAAGTTATAATAAATACAATAATAAAAATAACAAGAAAAGCAAATGAATTTAGAATTATCCAGCGGTTCGGTTCGGGTATCCGCGGATACCTAAATATGAAAACCAAAAACCGACCCGTTGATATCCGGTTTTTCGGTTTCGGTTACGGTTTTTTTCGGTTTCAATTTTTCGGTTTTGCGGTTTTTTTGCACACCCCTATCTATCATGTTACCAAATAAATAATTATGTCCTCAACAATGAGTCAACGACACCATTCTTTTAGGATGTCAGACCCAAAAAATAAAAAGGATACAAATAACCTCAAATAATCATTACAATATTACACTAAGAAAGTTGCACAAGATAAGCAAGGTCGGTCCACACATACACATGACTAGTGATTACGCATCTTTGCACAAGACATATTATAATTGAGAAATGGTGTCTTAATTGAAATAAGAACTTGCAAATTAAAATATACAAAAGTTTTGATTAAAATATTCCTGTTCCAAATTCTATTTTAAGTAACTATGTTGTCACCTATTAAATAATATCACATTCCTTATACCTAATTGGTGCTAAAATACAAAAAATTCTAGTATTTTAGTATTGTCAATGTATATTACTAAAATAAGCTCTTTATGTTAAATATAACTTAATTGATCTAATCAGATAAGCTTCGAACAAGCCAATTAGTGTGTTTTATGTTTAATGCAATTGCCAACAATAATACTTAATATTTCACATAAACACGTGAATGTTAAAGGATGCAAAATTTGATTAAACCACCTTTGATTAACCAAAAATCAAATTGTTATCTACTTCAATTTACAAAACATATACAAATTCAATAATTTGTATAACTTAAATGATTCAAACCATAGTTCAATTGGCCAAACCATAGTTCAATTGGCCAAACCATAGTTCAATTGGCCAAAATGAGTAGAGTATAAATCACACACATCATGAAAAACAAATCAAAAGGTCACTAGATAGAACAAAAGTAAACATCATGCCATAATAATGATAACAAGTACTTAATTAGTTCAAAAAAAAAAAAAAAATAGTATTATATATACGACATTTTATCCAGTAACATGTCATTCAATATTTTATTGAACTTAATGGGAAAAATAAAGAAAAAACCCCTTAACATTAAAATGCCTACATTATGGACATGATTTTTCACTTTTTAATAGAAAGTTCACATTTTTTTCACTAAAGACAACCAAGACAATAGCAAAAATTTGATGTTTCGATAATGTGCAATGCATAATATCTTTTGCTATAGGATAAGATTTTTAACCAAAAAATAAACCATAACCGAACCGAAAATGGTTCGAACCAATTAATAATATTTGGTCCGGTTCCCCGTTCCCCCAATCCATCATTTTTTTTGTTTTTGGTTCTTTTTGTTTCGATCTGGTTCCGGTCTATTTCGGCTTTGAACACCTTATTAGATAGCATATTTCCAAGTAGACTCAAACCCGGACTGAAATCGGTTGGAATCGGTAAGTGGTATTCGATATGGTTCTCTGTTCCGCATTTACTCTTTAATCGGTTTTCAATTCTTTCGGTTTTGGTCTGTTCGGTCTGAAATCGAACCGATTTACATCCTTATTTTGTTAATGCGGTCTTCTTGTCAAGTGTCCCATTTTGTTGTATACTCTCATGTTTATGCAACAAATCTCTATGTTCTATACATGAATTCCATGTTTAGTGGTGCTCACCATAAAGAACCGGTAAGGAATGCACTCTCAGAGTAATTGTTTGTTTTTCAAGACCGAGATAGTAGAAAAAAAATACATAAAAGAAAGCACTGATGCTCTCATAATTTTATTGATTTTAGTCACTTAATTATTTTATGTATGATAACCATCATTAAATTCATCCTAGATTACTGCTTTTACATAACCAAATTAGGATCGGGTTGTTCAAATTTGGGATAAAGTTTTCTTTTGTAATTTTTGATCTTCATTTCATTGTGTTTCGGGTGTTGATCATGTAATTTGGTTCATTGGTCTAGGCCAATAAACTATACCTAGATTGGGGTTGAGACCATGTGACCATGTAAATTTAGGTGTTTGTCTCTTCTTTCACTTCTTTCTAAAAGTCGAGTAAGAGCTTTAAGACGAATTCTTTTAAAGACCTTTCTATGAGTTGATACTTTACAAATTTACCATATAACTAGTGACACCTCTTAATTGTGTCTTACCCAATTGGCTATTGCTAGTTATGTGGGGGCCTTTGAGCCGAAAAGAGGTGGCATTTGGGCCGGGCAATAGCCTTCCCTAACTAGAAATCTGGGCTGGGCCGTGTCCGCGCCAAAATGTGCAGCTCTAATTATATATAATTTTATATGTCGGTATGTCAGTCCCAGTTCCACAGTCATCAATAGAAATCTAGCTATACCACCGACCACTCTAGATTCTCGCCAAGCAGCTCCCTTTCTTTCCCACTGCGAGCATCAAACATTTCATCTGCAAATACGTATGATCATCTTCACTAAATCTCTATAATTTCTGTATATGAATCGAATTCGGCCGCGTATATGATAACATTCTCTTCACTTGGTTTCAAATCGCTAATCTTTCTCCATTTCCCCCCTGAATTTAATTGTAATTTCAGGAAACCAGTACCTGTTTAGCAATTCAAAGAAACTAAATATGAAATTAGGTCATTTGTTTTAGAACTTTATGCAATTGGCGATTTATGTAGTAGTTTAGTTGTTACTATATCTGGCTAAATCGTTCATAACAGTAATGTTTTAGGGTTTTACCTGGTTTATAAACAGTCTGGATTTGCATTTTGAAGCTTTTTCTCTTAGGTCGTTTTGATCAATAAGAAACAGTTTAATTAAAAGGGTTTCCAACTTCTGCTGTGCTAACCCGTTGATTACTGATCCTAATGCACTTGATTAAAGATTCACCATATTTACCTAGAATCTAACTGCTTCAATCCTTCGTCGTTATCATAGATTTGAGCTCGAAAACATTCAGAAATCCATGGATAGCCATTTGAAGAAATTGTTCACAAGATATAATGAACAATTTGGTTCAGGCCCTGGACTTGGTACAGGATCAGGAACTTGTTTGATGAACATTGAAAACATTTCTCCTTCTTTCATCAAATCCCTTTACAAAGCTGCAGCATCTTTATACAGAACAGATCCATGGAAGCGATTTCAACCCGATCATCTTTTCGGTCTTAAAGTAGGAAAAGATTCAGATTGGCCAGGAAAGAAGCAGCTCTTCCCTTGTGTACAATTCATAGGCGGAAATGGTGGAGATTTAGCAGTATACCTGTTCAGATCAGAATCCGATGCAAAAAAAATGACAGGTTCTCGAGAAACAATCCGTGTCCCAAATCTTGAGATCATGAGAGCAACATATGAAGTCGAATCTTTAATGCTTCCTTCGCATAAAAAAATGATCAAAT